TACTGTTTATTATAAATACAGCATTTACTTAAAATATTTGTATCTATAAAAAGAATGTATAGACATAAAAATGTCTTAAAATAGTCTATAAAGTTACTCAGATATGTTTATCTCGAATTATATCAATTTTTTAACAAAAAAGACCCTGTATTGACTCACTTTTAAAAGAAAAGCAGAAAGGTTTGCGGTGACGATAGCATCATCAAAAGGTGAAAAAAAAAAAACAAAGCCCAAAGCTGGAATATCAGTAAACTTATTTCTGAGGACCATCGCCAGAGAATGATTCCAATTCTCTCTGGAGACTGGAATCATTTTTTTAATTTATATTGTTTTAATCATTTCGACCCAAGTAAGGTGGGAAATGCTAATAGGGTGGAGGCAGTTACAGAGAATGGAAGTTAGAGAAAAGATAAAGAGGACGGAGTAAAGGAGAAAAGAATGAGTATAGGGAGGACTGAATAAATGAGGAGACTGAGTAAATGAGGAGACTGAGTATAGAGAGGACGGAGTAAAGGAGAAGATTGGGTATATGGAGGACTGAGTAAAGGAGAAAAGAATGAGTATAGGGAGGACTGAGTAAATGAGGAGACTGAGTAAATGAGGAGACTGAGTATAGAGAGGACGGATAAAGGAGAAGATTGGGTATATGGAGGACTGAGTAAAGGAGAAAAGAATGAGTATAGGGAGGACTGAGTAAATGAGGAGACTGAGTAAATGAGGAGACTGAGTATAGAGAGGACGGAGTAAAGGAGAAGATTGGGTATATGGAGGACTGAGTAAAAAGGAGAAAAGAATGAGTATAGGGAGGACTGAGTAAATGAGGAGACTGAGTAAATGAGGAGACTGGAGTATAGAGAGGACGGAGTAAAGGAGAAGATTGGGTATATGGAGGACTGAGTAAAGGAGAAAAGAATGAGTATAGGGAGGACTGAGTAAATGAGGAGACTGAGTAAATGAGGAGACTGAGTATAGAGAGGACGGAGTAAAGGAGAAGATTGGGTATATGGAGGACTGAGTAAAGGAGAAAAGAATGAGTATAGGGAGGACTGAGTAAATGAGGAGACTGAGTAAATGAGGAGACTGAGTATAGAGAGGACGGAGTAAAGGAGAAGATTGGGTATATGGAGGATTGAGGAAAGGAGAAAAAGACTGAGCATAGAGAAGACTGCGTATATGGAGGACTGAGTAAAGGAGAAAAGACTGAGTATAGGGAGGACTGAGTATAGGGAGGACTGAGTAAAGGAGAAAAGACTGAGTATAGGGAGGACTGAGTAAAGGAGAAAAGACTGAGTATAGGGAGGACTGAGTGAAGGAGAAAAGACTGAGTATAGGGAGTACTGAGTAAAGACTGAGCATAGGGAGGACAGAGTAAAGACTGAGTATAGGGAGGACAGAGTAAAGGAGAAGACTGAGTATATGGAGGACTGAGGAGAGGGGAAGACTGAGTATAATGAGGATTGAGGAAATGATAAATGACTGAGCATAGGGAGGACTGAGTAAAAGAGAAGACTGAGTATAGGGAGGACTGAGTAAAAGAGAAAAACTTGATTAAAGACAGGACTGAGTAACAGAGAAGACTGAGTATAGGAAGGACTGAGGAAAGGAGAAGACTGAGTATAGTGACAACTGAGCAAAGGAGAAGACTGAGTATAGGGAGGACTGAGGAAAGGAGAAAAGAGATTGAGTATAGGGAGGTCTGAGTAAAGGAGAAGGCTAACTATAGGAAAGAGTGAGGTAAGGATAAAAGATAAACAGGATTCAAGGAGATAGAAAATGGCGGCTGATGTTGCCTTTAAATTTTTTAAGATAGCATTTATCAGGGAAGCAAGTAAACAGAAGTGAGTTCCACAGGCGGGAAGTGTGAGATAAGAAACTATTGGAGTAGAAGTGATGGTTTTTATTTAACTATTTTAAAAGTAAAAAAAAAGCTGTGACTTAGACGACAATTTACTAGCACGCTTAAATGTATGAAGTCAAGGCACCAGTGAAAAAAACTTGACAGAGCAGTTGCCATGAAAATATTTGTAGAAAAGAGGTATGGTGTCTCTCAGACAATAATCGTCAGATGCATTTTTAATGTCAGAGTATATAAAATAAACAATGTAGATATATAAGTAAATGAAAAAAAAACTTCGACTGTGGATTCGCTCTTCAATTCTTTTAGTGATATTCTGGGGTTTTTATATGAGAAATTCTCCCGAGTTCCTACGTTAAAAAATAGTAAGCATTACGGCTACATATATGTAAATATCTGCTAAAAAACGTCAAAGATATTGAGCTCTTTATAAAATGCGGTGAGAACATTGCAACAACTTCCGGTTATGTCGGCTTTGTAATGTGAGTCACTCTCGATGATCTTAATGATGATATCCTGCCTTTTTGAAGAGAGACTCTTTCGAAAACGAGGGCGGTCGGAGAAGTACCAATTAATGCCCAGTTAGCGACACAGACTACGCCTTTCGCTTGTAAATTCACGTCGAAAGTTGAAGGAGCGACTCATAGAATATTAATCCCGCCTCCATGACTTTTTCTTTGATAGTTTCTCCTAAGAATCTTGACTAAAATCTTATATTTTCCGCCTCTTTAATCCTTTTGGGTTCTCCCTGCAACTATACTTTGCACCATGTTCGACATTGACACTAACCCCTGGTACTTATATACGGTCGCATATTATATTTGTGTTCATTCCCTCTTCTTTAGGTATGATATTGGATTCCTTTTTAAGGCAGGAGAAATTTAGACAAGGGTCTTGTTTCTCTGTCACATTACGTGTGTGTGTGTGTGTGTGTAAAAGCGTCCAGAGCTCTTCCTTAAAATAACAATGGTCTGAATACACAGTTAACTAAGTTTTATTATACATATATCTGTGATAAGATAAAGAACAAATAATGCGTTCATCAGAAGTTTCACGAAATTAACTGATTCCAAATCTATCTGAAAAACGTTAATATTGCTTTATATATTTAAATGTACAGGCTGTCCACAAAGTCTGTGTACAGGTTGTCCATAAAGTCTGTGTGCAATTTAAAATACTAACGTATCTTTATGAACGCCCTGTATAATAGTTCCAGTTTGTCTATGCGCAATTCGGATGATAATATTAAATTCGTACACCCTTGTGCAAATTAATTGTAACAAAACGAATAATTCCGTTTTTAATTTTTTTCGTATTTTTCCAAAGAAACGTGACCCAGTGCACATGTCAGTACTTCGTATGTCCATCCCACAAAATTGTTCCTTGCAGATTGATCATAGATACTCGATTTAAATCAGGAGAGTTTTCGAGCCAGTCTATAGCACTTTGATAGGCTCACTGGTAAGGGTTGCCAGTATGTTTGTGCAGTGTTACAATTTTCGTAAGCTTACTTCGAGTAAAGTCCATCGCAGACAATGGCCGTAGAACAACTAATCGACAGTCGAGTCAATAATGTCTGAGCGTCATGAAAATCTGATGCAATCACGTATGACACAATATTCTTCAAGGCCCAAAATTTTAACATACGCCCCGAAAATAGATTTTATATTACTGCACACCACAGCAAATGACCCAATGTGAGGAAAAAATAGAAATCTGTTATACCCTGTCACTCCAATGGATTTAAAATTGACGAAGCAAAAGAAACTGAAGCGGTTGTTTCAACTAATTTGCACAACGGTATATATATATATATATATATATATATATATATATATATATATATATATATATATATGTGTGTGTGTGTGTGTGTGTGTGTGTGTGTGTGTGTGTGTGTGTGGTGTGTGAGAGAGAGAGAGAGAGAGAGAGAGAGAGAATGACACTGAGCTAAAGTTTAGTTCGTGTAGTTCGTGTACATTTATGATGTATACTGCGGTACACTTTGGTACACTTCGGTGAAGATGACATTATTAATCATCTTCATTGCGCACAACGTCTGAGCAATGGGATATTAATAGCGGTTCTAATTTTCTCTTCAATAGCATCGCCTTTATTTACATTTTAATTGTACATAATATTGCTTGCATATTTAGGATTATTTAATATATTTCTTAAATATATTCTTGTGGGTTGGTGGATTCTGAACACTCTGACATCGGGGAGGGAATTTTGAACCTGATGAAAATTTAATTTTTCATACACTTTTAGTTAAGATTTTAATCAACAAAATCAGTGCGAGCTTTAAGATCCAAAGAGATTTTAAATGGGAGTCTCTGGGTAAGAAAGAGAAACAAAGAAGTGTTTTCTGATCTGCACACCACTTCAAATGGCCTAATCGGAGTAAAAATAGAAATCGATTACACCCTTCACTCATGAAGCTTTAATGAAAGTGAAACATGTTAGATTGATAAACATTTCCTATTTGTTCTTTTATCCTATCATATCTCATTCTCTGATGAAGCTTTTAATAAAAGTGAAACATGTTAGATTGATAAACATTTCCTATTTGTTCTTTATCCTATCCTATCATATCTCATTCTCTGATGAAGCTTTAATAAAAGTGAAACATGTTAGATTGATAAACATTTCCTATTTGTTCTTTATCCTATCCTATCATATCTCATTCTCTGATGAAGCTTTTAATAAAAAAGTGAACATGTTAGATTGATAAACATTTCATTTGTTCTTTATCCTATCATATCTCATTCTCTGATGAAGCTTTTAATAAAAGTGAAACATGTTAGATTGATAAACATTTCCTATTTGTTCTTTATCCTATCCTATCATATCTCATTCTCTGATGAAGCTTTAATAAATGTGAAACATGTTAGATTGATAAACATTTCCTATTTGTTCTTTATCCTATCCTATCATATCTCATTCTCTGATGAAGCTTTAATGAAAGTGAAACATGTTAGATTGATAAACATTTCCTATTTGTTCTTTTATCCTATCCTATCATATCTCATTCTCTGATGAAGCTTTAATAAAAGTGAAACATGTTAGATTGATAAACATTTCCTATTTGTTCTTTATCCTATCCTATCATATCTCATTCTCTGATGAAGCTTTTATAAATGTGAAACATGTTAGATTGATAAACATTTCCTATTTGTTCTTTATCCTATCCTATCATATCTCATTCTCTGATGAAGCTTTAATAAAAGTGAAACATGTTAGATTGATAAACATTTCCTATTTGTTCTTTATCCTATCCTATCATATCTCATTCTCTGATGAAGCTTTAATAAATGTGAAACATGTTAGATTGATAAACATTTCCTATTTGTTCTTTATCCTATCCTATCATAACTCATTCTCTGATGAAGCTTTAATAAAAGTGAAACATGTTAGATTGATAAACATTTCCTATTTGTTCTTTATCCTATCCTATCATATCTCATTCTCTGATGAAGCTTTAATAAAAGTGAAACATGTTAGATTGATAAACATTCCTTTATCCTATCTATCATATCTCTCATTCTCTGATATTTGTTCTTTATCCTATCCTATCATATCTCATTCTCTGATGAAGCTTTAATAAAAGTGAAACATGTTAGATTGATAAACATTTCCTATTTGTTCTTTATCCTATCCTATCATATCTCATTCTCTGATGAAGCTTTAATAAAAGTGAAACATGTTAGATTGATAAACATTTCCTATTTGTTCTTTATCCTATCTTATCATATCTCATTCTCTGTTGAAGCTTTAATAAAAGTGAAACATGTTAGATTGATAAACATTTCCTATTTGTTCTTTATCCTATCCTATCATATCTCATTCTCTGATGAAGCTTTAATAAAAGTGAAACATGTTAGATTGATAAACATTTCCTATTTGTTCTTTATCCTATCCTATCATATCTCATTCTCTGATGAAGCTTTAATAAAAGTGAAACATGTTAGATTGATAACCGTTTCCTATTTGTTCTTTATCCCATCCTATCATATCTCATTCTCTGATGAAGCTTTAATAAAAGTGAAACATGTTAGATTGATAAACATTTCCTATTTGTTCTTTATCCTATCCTATCATATCTCATTCTCTGATGAAGCTTTTAATAAAAGTGAAACATGTTAGATTGATAAACATTTCCTATTTGTTCTTTATCCTATCCTATCATATCTCATTCTCTGATGAAGCTTTAATAAAAGTGAAAACATGTTAGATTGATAAACATTTCCTATTTGTTCTTTATCCTATCCTATCATATCTCATTCTCTGATGAAGCTTTTAATAAAAGTGAAACATGTTAGATTGATAAACATTTCCTATTTGTTCTTTATCCTATCCTATCATATCTCATTCTCTGATGAAGCTTTAAAAAGTGAAACATGTTAGATTGAAAACATTTCCTATTTGTTCTTTATCCTATCCTATATTGATAAACATTTAAATGTGAAACATTTGTTCTTTTGTCCCTATCCTATCATATCTCATTCTCTGATGAAGCTTTAATAAAAGTGAAACATGTTAGATTGATAAACATTTCCTATTTGTTCTTTATCCTATCCTATCATATCTCATTCTCTGATGAAGCTTTAATAAAAGTGAAACATGTTAGATTGATAAACATTTCCTATTTGTTCTTTTATCCTATCCTATCATATCTCATTCTCTGATGAAGCTTTAATAAAAGTGAAACATGTTAGATTGATAAACATTTCCTATTTGTTCTTTATCCTATCCTATCATATCTCATTCTCTGATGAAGCTTTAATAAAAGTGAAACATGTTAGATTGATAAACATTTCCTATTTGTTCTTTATCCTATCCTATCATATCTCATTCTCTGATGAAGCTTTAATAAAAGTGAAACATGTTAGATTGATAAACATTTCCTATTTGTTCTTTATCCTATCCTATCATATCTCATTCTCTGATGAAAAACATGTTAGATTGATAAACATTTCCTATTTGTTCTTTATCCTATCCTATCATATCTCATTCTCTGATGAAGCTTTAATAAAAGTGAAACATGTTAGATTGATAAACATTTCCTATTTGTTCTTTATCCTATCCTATCATATCTCATTCTCTGATGAAGCTTTAATAAATGTGAAACATGTTAGATTGATAAACATTTCCTATTTGTTCTTTATCCTATCCTATCATATCTCATTCTCTGATGAAGCTTTAATAAAAGTGAAACATGTTAGATTGATAAACATTTCCTATTTGTTCTTTATCCTATCCTATCATATCTCATTCTCTGATGAAGCTTTTAATAAAAGTGAAACATGTTAGATTGATAAACATTTCCTATTTGTTCTTTATCCTATCCTATCATATCTCATTCTCTGATGAAGCTTTAATCAAAGTGAAACATGTTAGATTGATAAACATTTCCTATTTGTTCTTTATCCTATCCTATCATATCTCATTCTCTGATGAAGCTTTAATAAAAGTGAAACATGTTAGATTGATAAACATTTCCTATTTGTTCTTTATCCTATCCTATCATATCTCATTCTCTGATGAAGCTTTAATAAAAGTGAAACATGTTAGATTGATAAACATTTCCTATTTGTTCTTTATCCTATCCTATCATATCTCATTCTCTGATGAAGCTTTAATAA